ATACAACTCTAGTTTTAGGGATCAAATTGTTTCCTATATATATTTGGCTCTTCTCTATAATTTCTTTAGTTTTTTAACCTCATTACAAGTTAGACAAATTATAAACACAAAATCTTTGTATTCTTTCTCCATATTATAATAAAATCTCCATTCTCTACAAATTATTTTATTATTGTGTTCATGTGATCGATTACTTCATAATGTGGCTTAATAGCTTATTTTCTCCAACAAAGTGATCTTGGATTAATTCGATATCATCTTCGCAACAAACTATTTTCTGAATTATAATAATCCTTTTATCTGAACTTTTTTTTCTTCATACTGCTCATCATTATATTTCTCTCGAGCAATGTCATACTTGGAATGAACAAGAAGAAAATTAATAATACTTTATTATTATTATTATTATTATTATTATTATCTTTTGAGTTGTTTTGTCAGACCGATCACTCAAGATCTCTGATCTTTACTCAGACCTTATAAAATATATGGGATCACTTCTCATCTTCTCTTTTTGCTTTAACGACGATGAAAAAGTATTGACCCATCCAATTTCCAATTTTTAGGCCAAAGTTGTGTTGATATGGGCTTTAGTTTAAATTCATAATTGGCTTGGTTTTAGTTTGTTAGAGTTCATTTTTGGGTGGTTTTTGTATGGGTTCACTCTTGGACTTTGTTTGGGTACTTGGGTTCACTTTTCGCCTGGGCTGGAATCACTGGATTTCCGTTTGGTCTTAGGTTACGGGTCGGGTTCACTATTGAACTGGTTTTTTTCTTTGTGTTTGGTTTCAAATTGGGTTGGTCCTAATTTGGGTTTGATTCACTGTTGGGCTGGATGTTGGTTTCGATTTGGGTTCACTATAAAGAAGAGGCTTCTTGGTCCTCTAACTATACAAAAGGAGCATCTTAGTCTTTTATCTATTTATAAGGGCCCCATTGGTCCTCCCACTATGTTGAATTGGTTTATAGGTCCTCTATCAACGAAATTGATCTTCCAACTATTGGAAAGGGCCAATCGGTCCTCAAACTATGAAAAGTGGGTAAATCGATCCTTGAACTATGAACTATCATCATAATGGTCCTTCAACTATGAGAAGGGTCTTGTGGGTCCTCCGACCATGAGCAACAGAAGACTGGTCCACCGACTGTACATTTATAAGGGGTAATTTCGATTTTGAAGGAGCAATTTGGTCTTCAGAATATTCGAACGGTTGCTAGTTCCAATTATTTATAATGGGTAGTCCTCCAATTATTCATATCACTTAATTTGTTCCTCGAACTATTATGAATGCACAATTAAGCCTCCAACTTCAGAAGATGAAATTTACTCCTCCCAGCAATTATAAACTTTATCGAAAAACCAAAATGCGGAGTCAGAGTCATGCAATTCGAAAAAGAAGAAGAAGAATTAGAGCTCTTTAACGCTTTTTGAGTTAAGATTCCACAAAAATTGAATTACGAATTAGGTAAACTCGACACAAAAATGTTTTTCGACTCAAATACATTTTTGCTGGTTAGATGCAGCTATGTAGTGGAAGCCTGGATAATTTTTATTTCGTACACCATATTTTAATTGTAGTTAAGATCTTTAATTTTTATTCATTGTATTAATTATTTTTTAATTTTTTTTCTTGACTTCAACTTTTCATTAATTAGTACGTCTTGTCTGTAATAATAATTTATATCAAAATATTTTATTTTTATGCTTTGAACGAGGGAAAATATTATCTTGGACTTTATACTTATTTATTTGTTAAAAATATGATGGAAAAAATAAGCTGTTTTACGTCATTTTAACGAAATTTTGACAAAAAACTATTATCAAATACAAAAGCTATTAACTAATGAAAAGTTTGAAGATAAGAATGTTATGAAAAATCGTTAAGAATATAAGGTCCGTTTGATTGCAAGAATGAAATTTGGGTGAAAAGAAAATAAATTTCAGGGAATTGAATTGTTTAAAACTTGTTTTACTGGAAATTGTCAATTAAATGTGTTTGATTGATATAATTTTTAACTTAAAAAATGTTGAAATTTTGAATCTTTTTGTGTTTGTTGAACTTTAATTTTCATGAAAATTGTCAATTAAAGAAATAAAATTTGTTACAATTATGGATATAATTTGTTTTCATTGAAAAAAAAAATGGAAAATCCAATTCTCACCAAAATCAAAGGAAAATCAATTCCTTAAAAACCAAGAAAATGTGGTCACGTGGGGGGTAATTGGAAAACCAATTCCATTAAATTTTTTGGCTATCAAACATACAATTTGGATGAAAAATGGATTTTTTTCCCCCATTTTTCCCATTTTCCATGGAAAAAGAAGCCTATAGGCCCTAAGTGTTGTAATGAGTAAAAATTAAGAAATATAATTGCAATTAAAATGTTGTGCAAGAAATAAAAATTATAATAGAAATATAATTACCCAAGTTTTTAAGCCGTATTTTAGGTTAAAATGTTTTAAGTTATCTTTTTCTATATTGTTGAAATGTCTGAAAGGCCCATTTTTCAAATTGGAACCATTAGTTTCACTCCTAATCAGTTTTTTTGTTCTTCATTCCTGTTTCCAACTTTCTTCTTCTTTTATAGTTTATCTCCAATCTTCTTCCTCTTTGGTTTATCCATAATCTTCTTCTTTGTTCTGCTTTCTCCTTTTTATCTAATTTTACTCTCAAAGTACAAGGAAGCACATTCAAAGAACAAACGCTTACATTTCTACATTTTTATACAATAAAAGACATCTTATCACTTTTATTTGTTTTTTGATCTCGTGCATATATTTTCATCACTTTCATCAAGAAAAAAATTTGCACTGGCTGCATGTCTGCCCAATGGGGAGGGCAGGCACGTACCATTTAATCCACCAGCATTACGGAAACATCGAGCAAGGATTATGTTGTCTTTCACACAAGGCAGAGGCTGGCCAATGTCAGTGAGTCAGTGAGTAAATAGCCAATCTAATATAATTCAGCTGCACCATTTGCTAATGCACGGTTCTTTTACTTAGACCTTGATCTAAGAGTTTTGCTATGTGTACATTCAGGGTTGATATTTGACAACCCCCTCACAGGGGGAGGAGCGTGGGGGCATGAGGGGGGCTGTAATTTGAGGTGTGAAACTTGGTTGTACAAACAGAAAAAACCCTTGACCTTTACACCGCGTTCTGCTTAGAAGAGGTTTAAGAAACAAGATTTGATCGAGAAAAAACAATAATCTTGAGCTTTTCTATTGTTTCCACACCATCGAAACTAGGAGCGGATTTAACTCTGACTAATATGTTTAAAAAAAAAAAAAAAAGTTCACACAAAAAATGTTTTTACATAAAAAAATTACACAGCAGATGGGACTGGACATGGCTGATGTTTTTGCCTTCTATTAAATGAATTTTGCTATTTGTACACGGATATTGACACGCCGGTGTACACACCCCTTATATGAGGGAGGGGTCTACGCCCAATTAAAAAAAAAAAAAGAGCGTAGGCCCCCCTTATGTGAGGGGTCGTGTACACCGACGTGTCGAACACAGGTGTACGTGTAGCACAATTGCTATTAAATTATAGGTATATCCAACTTAAGCAAGGGGTGATAGTCGTGGACTTGCAACTTCTGTGAATAGTGGTATGGAATGCCCTCTGGTAACAACAGTGTTAGTTTGATACCTATTCTTCGAGTAATGTTCTGTAAAATCATATTATGAATTTACGTTAGTTTATTTGCGTGTTATAATTTGAAGTGATTGTCTAAGGTTCCATGATCATACAGGATGGATCGAGTATAGTAAGACCAATTTGTGATGTGATCAAAATTATGTCGTTCACAATCGGTTCATAAAGTTGGACGCTTTATGCTGATAATATTGTATTGTTCTTATTAAGATTTGTCTAGATCTTGAAACAGGAACAATAATGTGTTTCGATGCACATTGAACGGAACCGCGTAGATGACTCATTTGTGACCGTTTGAAATGAAACTCTACTTGATTATCAAACAGGTCACCTAAATCCTGAGTGAATAATGTACCTTTGATTGCTAGTTAAAGTTTTTTGAGGTACCAATGAGTGAAGTCTTAAATAGAAGATTGATCTCGGTGCTTTAAGAATCGGGCCGAAACAATTAGAGATTATATACTTACAATATTGGAATCCATTAATCATTGAGATGAGACTCGTCACTCTAAGGTATTTTCCTAGGCAAATTGAATTTGAGCTCAGTAGATCGACGATGAGATCGTGAGACTTTACATTGTGATTTGATCACAACAAATTTGCAGTATGAAAATGAAACTTAGAGGGTAATGCATGTCGAAGGGCAAAATTGTCATTTTGCCAGTTTTAACATATTGACGATCAAATGGGGGTTGACTTGTAGAACGATAATCAGAGGATATTGTTATCGGATCATAATTTGCTTCTATAACTCTCACTCGACTCGAGAGTGCAATCTCGATTTTTTGGTAGAATAAGCCGGGATTAATAGATGTATTTCAATTAGTCAAGAGTTGATCCAATTGTAAACATCTATTGGAGCTTGGGTCCTATGAGTCCTATTAGGTCCCTCTCTTGGCTCCAATAAAAGGTATGTAACTTAATTGGCCTACTACAATAAAGTCTAAGGAAATTTGTGCAATTTCCAACCCTAATAGGTCATTATAAATATGCACATTATTAACATATTTTGGTGTGATTTTAGGGTTAGCCACTTTTCACATTCCCCAAAAAGAAATAACACCTAGTGGAGAACAAGGGATAAGATCTAATGGAGAAAGCAATTGACTAGGTCATTAATAGCTCATTCAAAAATGTTATCATCTCCACTTTTTATATATGTGAGGATTTAATAATTCAATGATCTCAAGGTCAATTAAATCCTTATTTACATGATTTTAATCTTCAAAGGAAAATTAATTTCCTATTGTGATGACTAAAATTCATTAACCAACAAGCAGGACTGGTTGGGAGCAGCCAGGAAACAGCTGCAGTTATTTTTTTTCAAAAGCAATATTGAAAAAAGCAGTAACTGAACTTAATTTTTGAAGTATCTCTAAAATAACGTTTCACTTACAAGATAAATTATGCAGTCGAACATGTTCGGGGAAAAAAATTAAGCAAACTAATTTTACTTGCTTTTAGAGTTTGAAAGATCATACATCTCTGGTAGAGTATCATCAATTCAAGAATAAAAGTGAACATAACTTTCAGATGCAAGGAGAATTTAGGATTGGTCTCTTTCTGATGAACTTGATTTTCGTGAAAAATTCTGCCACCTTTGTTTGTTCCTTTCAGATGATTCCAGATTCTGCGTAAACTTAGTGAGCCCCTGTCTCAGAGCACCTAGATTCACGCCATTATGCACCAAGATGCTTGTCACGCCCATTTTAGAAACCTAAAAAAGACACAACATTTAATTAGAAGTTCCAAAAAGAATAAAGTATGCATGGGACATGACAAGCAACTCATTTGTTGGACTGTTTCGAACCTAGACAGGAGTATTCAAGGCATTCTATACACATATTAGGTCGCCCTAACTTAAGTATAGATGATTATGAACGAGGTTTTTTTTGTGTAAGACAATGATTGAAATTTGAAAGGCGTGAAATCAACATTGTAAATGTTTTTTCTTCTTCGTATTAAAAACCTGCAACCGAGAGGTAGCTCTCATGCTGAGGGTATAAAACTGCTTGTTTGCTTGTCTATATTTTTTTGGTTTATTTGATTAATATTGCTCTCCTAATTGGGATTAGAGCTCAATCCTTAACATCGTCCACCCATAACATTATATGCATGAAAATAAAGAAGAAACAACTCATGGGGAAGAGATCTTACTGCTTCTATGTTTCGATCCTCGTCATCGAAAAAGAGCATTTCATTGTATGGAATTCTAGTCGTCTGCTTAATTCTTTGAAAGTGTTCAGTCTTGTGTGTCCAACTCGAAAATATCTCCTGAAGTATTAAAGCTCACAGCATGGTAGCAATTTACAATCAAAACCTTAAAAGTATATTTAGAAACAGATTATACATCTCAAACATCACAATACAGCAGCAAAAGCACAAAATGGTCGACTGCACAACATACACAGAAAATGCACACAACTTGCCACATAGTCATAAGTTACAACCCCCATATGGACCCGTCTTTGTTAATCTGTACGTCTTACATTACTTAAACAGCAAAAAACTTCTTTTATATTTTAAGGCAACAATTGAAGGTATTCAGGGGTCATAGAGCACATTTATCTAAAATCACCAGCTACCATAATAAATGTCAAAAGTCAGTACTTTTATACTTCTAATATAGTATGTGGATAAGCATATGCTTATGTGTTTGACTATGCATTTTGCAGTACACAAATGAGAACATCTCTAAGTCCAAGTTGGAAAGGCACACATACTAATTATTTAATAATAAAAGAAAAAACTATTTATAGGGACAAATTACATTTTCAAGCACACATCTAAGGGTACACATAGATAACAATGAAAAAAATGATAAATATTGGCAATAAGCTTGCACCAATTATATATTCTGTCTTAAGCCTTCTCTGTTTGCTTTGGGCAGAGATGAGCTTAAGAGACATATACAATATGAGGTCCCCTAGTGTATGTTACTCATTGATGACACAATTTTAGCGAATGAGACTAGGAGGTGTAAACGGTAACTTAGAATGGAGAAGTAACTTGGAAAATAAGGAGTTTCAATTAAGTAGAAATGTGGAACTAAGATGTATTACATAGACATCTCAGACACAATAAGAATAAGGATGAAAGAATCAAGTGTCCAAACAATTATTGTTTAGATATTTAGATTTGATTATTAACAAGGAATGAGGACTTGAAGAGAATTATTTGATTGTTTGGGTTTTATTATAATGAAATTATAATAAAGAGTAATGGATTCCACGGAATGTGTGGATAATAAGTGGATAGTAGTTGCAAATGTGTGATTAAAATTATTTTTTGACTTTGACTTCAAATTATAAGGAGATTATAGTGAAACCCAAACAAACACAATGCAATGTATAGGATCAAAGAGAGCTTGATGACATAAAGAACTTTACAGTGACTTTATGTGATAAATATCTATAAGGTTAAAAAGAAATGCCTACAAAACAATTAATAGACGACCTGCTTATGAGGCTGAGTGTTTGGTCAATAAGGGACAAGATGTCCATAAGTTGAGTATGTTAGATGGATGCGTGCCCATAATAGAAATTGATTTCACCATTCTAGACTTCAGGTTGTCTAAAGCATAATTGCTTGTGTATCAGCAAGGGAAAACACAAATGTAAAAGAATTACAATAATTGCATACAGCTTACCTGAGCTACAAACATTGGTTTTATCCCCAATTTATCCAGAAAAGTGTTTGCTATATCTGGAGTTGGCGATCTTGAGGCAATGGCAAGATTAACGCCCTTGTCCTTGAGTGCATATAATATTCCTTTGGCATGAGGATACAGTGATGGCATTTCACGCTTCGAGCGACATTCACTGGAAATAAATAGCATTGACAAGAAGTAATATACAGTTTAGTCGGGATATCATCAAGCAACTATTGTCAGCAGGTATATCATAGTACAACACACATAAAAGGACAATACGTTCTGTAACAAATGCATATTCTCGACAAAATACAAAATTATATCAATCACTGGAACAAATTATGCAAAAGTATAAGGCAGGTTCCAAGACATCACAATGCAACTCAGTACCCAGTTCATGATGGTTCACATGGCACATTCCATACCAAGACACGGTCAGGGGCCTCCAAGGGGGGTCCTGGGAGGGGCCAGACCCCAAAGTTTATGCAGATTATTTTTCTATTTATATTTGAAAATAAAACACAACAAAGAAAGACTTTAGCTTATAGAATGTAAACTTCTGGTAATCTAATGGTAAAGTTTCTGAATTTTATATAGGAGACAAGGTTTCATATGCTCAAGACAGCAATCTTTTTTTTTTTTTTTTTTTTTTTTTTTTTTTTAATTTGAAAAATTTTGTGAAAGTAGTCTGCAACCTAGGACATGTAGAAAAATTCTTGCCAACCTTTAAAATCTAACTTCTCAACCCCCATTCTTAACTTCCATTTGCGTATTTTGTCCTTTTCACATAATTTCAATCACATTAGCTTTAAATTTTCCTCTAGTAAAGATGGCAAGATATTTTCAGTTCCAATAGCCTCATTATTTATTTCAAATGCCGATCTCCTCCCTCTGCCAACTACCACTACTGTCAACTGCCGACTATCATAACACCATTGACCACCCCCCCCCCCCCCCCCATTACACAATAACTAACAAATTAAGCTCCTAACAAGTCTTTAAGTAGACTGGAAATAAATCCCCAAAATGACCATTCCACTTCTCCTAAAACAGATGAAAACCCAAACTAACATTTCAGCCCGATCTTCAAATTTCGATCCTATGAGAACATGGGATCAAGATTTCACAATTTGTACAGAACTAGCAACAAGAATAGCAGAACATATGACACAATTAAAATTTAAAAGTCAAAAAGTGTTGATCAATGTTCAATACCTAAAAAAATTAATCACCCAATAAGAATTGGGCGGTGTGCATTACAGACAATCAAACGATCCAACAAAATAAATACCTACTCGAATTTGTAAGTGTTTAAAGAAAAATCTGAATCGACAATTGCAGTAGGACAAAATTACCAGTAGAAAGGCCAGAGTGTGTAATCGAGATCAAAGACGACAAGACGAGGCAGCACTTGGAAGAGACCCATTATCTCCATTGCTTCGTTCTTCACCCCTTCGTCTCCCATCTCTCTCTCAGTCAGACGCTGTGTCTCTACTTTACGTCGCTCACTCGATTGTTTGTTGATTCTGCTATCCCGTGTATTGGAAGATCTTTTCAAAAACTGCACTCTTGATCCTCAATTTATAGTGTTAGTGTTAAATCGGTCAAGTATCAATCTCTCAACTTTTTTATACAGTTAAATAATTGGTCTTTAAAAATAAAAAAATAAATCATCCAAATCTTCATTAAATAGTTATGAGAGTCTAGTGAAAATATAGCTCTTATTTGATATTCATTATTTTCAAAATACATTTTTCTCTCTTCTTTTCAACAATATATTCTTTAATAAGAGCAGGTTTGGGAGTGATTTTGAAAATTGATTTTTTGACTGTTAAGAGAAAAGTGGGGTTCACCTATGAAAGAAGAAGTCAAATATGACGGTTGAAATAGTGAAATAATGGTCAAAAAATCAATTTTTTGGGAGAAAAAATCGCTCCCAAACAGGCCCTAAAATAATATTACATACAAATAAAAAAAATTCATTATTTTTCATTAATCTATTATTCCAAAATGCATTCTTAAAGAAAAATGGGACTCAAATAATTCATTTCAAAAATGAAAACTAGTTCATGTTGATGTTTAAGCCCATGCTTGGAAATTGTTTATAAACATTTTAATTTTAAAGCATTTTGTATATAGATAGAAAGTATCTTAAAAATTCTTTTAGTCTTGAAATTTAGTCTTCAAAAATCAATTTGATTAATATTAATCCATGCTATGATATATTGGTTAGTGTGTTAAATTTAAACAATGTAAAATTATATCCTTAACACGGCTTGCAAATTGTTCTTGAAATGTGATTGCTCGTTACTTTAAATAGATTGATTGCTTGTTTGAATTTTTAAGCTCTAGAAAAAATAATTCTTCAATTTCCATCTTGTAAACCAACCTTATTAAGAGCAATAACTTACCAAAACACCATTCAATTTTTGATACTTAGATGGCCCAAGATGGCACTTCTCTCTTGACTCTTATTGTGTTCCAACTGAACCAAAATGTTTCCGGCAGAGAAAAAGGCCCAGCTGACGAACAAAACTTGAAAAGGTCCCTTTTTTTCCCATTTCAAACCAAAAGAGAAGACCTTTTTAAATTATTTTGAGTAGCTTTACTAAGCAGCATTGATGGAATTATAATCACTTGCAACTACAACAAATAAGTCATACATTACTAACCTAGACAACCTTGTCATCACCTACGACATTAAGAGTCGGAAGACTGCTTAGGAATTCATCTCGAAAACCCCAATCCCTTCCATGTTTTCATCCATTTGTTCTGTTCCATGGGAGCAGGTCCTCTACTTCATAGCTAAGTTCGACATTCAAATCCAACTTCGCAAAATTCTTTACAACTCTTCCAAGTTGCTTCCGAGCATTTGCTGCAGACCCTTTCTCGCTCGGCTCACCGGTTAAGTGACTCTACCTCCAGGAAAGATACAAATTCTTCTTGTACATTCACATTTTTTATCTTTACAACCAATTTTGGCTTCACACCAGCCCCTTTTCCTTTGACACTATTCATTCTGATTTTGCCACTTCATCGTTAAAGAAGTAATAACAGGGCAAGCTAGGAATCAAAAGTAAAATCCACAATCTTATTACACCAAGAAACAAAAATCAGTAGCAACCAGCAAGTAAAGACCCAATTTTCAAACATATTCTCAAAATTGAAGGATTCTATAGCAGCTATAAGAAGCAACTATAAAATATCAAGCTAAGTGAAAAAATATCAAAATTCAGTACCTGATAATATTCTTGTTCTAAGAAATCTTACATAGAATCAAGTCATTTGTACTTGTTTGTTGACACTTTGGATTACCCGATCCTACCACTCCTCTCACATGAGGTCGGGTCCCATGCGGGGGTCATAACGTGGGATCCGACCCCCATGTGAGAGGAGGAGGTGGGTCCGAGTAAATCAAAGTGTAAACAAATAAGTACAAGTAGCATAACCCTCTTACATAATCTGCCCTTCTGACAAACCAACCGCTCCAAAAGTGAAGAGAAGCCAACTCCTTGCCCTCTAAAACATGTAGCAATGCTCGGTAACTTATTTTTCACTAACAGAGAAAAACAAGTACATTTACCTGAATTAACAGACGGATATACAAATTAAGCCACTTACCAAGCTCAAAACAGAAAGATGAGAACCAACTCGAAGAGTCTAATTTATAAGATAAATATACACAAATCAAAAGCGGAAACGGGAGGACAATTAAGTACTCGGAGAGGAAGTTGTGATCATGGTATTATTTAGGTTCACATTACGTTTAATTTCCTGTGGAACTAAATTCAAAGCCTAGCAACCTGGTTGAGCTACTTCATTGACTGAATAATAATCTACACATTAAAAAACACCCAACCTGGAATATATCCCTGAAACTGGACCACAATAAAACCTTCAAGAGCTGCTGAAAGAAGATATTTTGAAAGCATTAATGTGCTTGAAAGATTGACAGAATACTTATTTTCGACTACAAGATAAATTTTCCGAACTTGCATGTCAAGTAAGTGATATTTAATATAATCATATTAATCAAAACTTCTTATTTTCTCATTGTTACTTTTAATTTTTTTTTAAAAATTGTACACGTTACAAGTTGTTCTTATACAATTTTTAACTCCGCCTACTCAAAATTTATGTAGCAAGTTCCAAATCCGGATAAAAGATGAGGATTTATATATATATATATTTTATCTATTTAATAAAAAAGTAGATTCATTAATATTTAATTCGATGTACTAAAAAGATCGTCACCCAACCAGAACAACCAACAAAGCAAGTTGCCAAAATTATACTCATATACAGCAAATATTTGAAGTTATATCCCGTAAAATAGTTAAAAGAATTAAACAGCGGGCAAAGTTGGTAATTACTAAAGAATACTAGGAAGGTCAACAAATAAGCTTCAACTTCTTTTATTCCAACATCGTAAACATGATAGAAGTTCATTACACAATATACCAATCCACAAAGCCATTTGCCAAAATTCACAACTCATACATGACAAATAATTAAAGTTGAACAATGTTACACACGATAACAAACAATATAACATACTAAACAACCATGCCAAAAGCTTGTCCCACAACAAGACCAACCCAATAAAGCAAGTTGCCAAATTTCACTACTCATAGATGACAACAATTTGAGAAGATGACTATGCCACGCTCACAAAATCAACTCCACCATTGGTGCACAGCAATACCCTCATCTCTTAATTTTCCATACAACGTTAAACACTGCCAATATGCCCTCTTCCTGCCATTCTCTTCTTCACCATCTTCATCTTGCCATTGATTCTTACACTCTAAAAACAACTCATCAACTAGACATATAGTCTTGTCTTTCATCATTTCCTCCACTACTTGTGCTTCTGCCTTCATCACAACATAGTCATCGCGCTTCATATTTTGCGTTAGCCATTCTGATATCCCCATATCTTGAGGCACAGTTCTACTCATTGATTCATCCTGATTCTCTATCTCCATGTTGTATATCTCGAATGGTTGATCCCTCATTGGATAATTTTTGTAAAACCAGTCGATGGAACTTGTATCATCTGAGATGAAAATCCTTCGAGGATAATTGTCAAGAGAGTCCCTCATCAAATCAGGCAGAAATTTCAGTTTCCTTGATCCAAAACTTAATTTTGGCAAAGCTCCTCTTGGCGGCTCTAGATACACGTCCTCTAAGCCCTCCAACGCTAATTTCTTGACCTTTGAAGCAGTCCCGCACGATACATCCTTTGTTGGGAAATTCATCAACCCATTTGTTGCCCCGATTTTCCTCAACGCCACCACGGTGTACTCAATGTCAGGAATATGTTCATATGAAATATTCTCATTCTCAAATCGTCTAAGATACACTATCTTATAATTCATTTGTTCTTGAAGAACATTAGGGGAATCATTGTTCAGTGGCGCAATCACGATGCCACCATTCTTGAGAATACCATCAATCAGCTTCATTTCATGGAAATTGAAAGCCAAAACAAAATCAAACACATCAACTTGGCTCAATTTCTTCTGGGTTTTATTAGATTTAATGGCCAAATCAATACCGATTCCATTTATGAATGGAAAATCATCTTCAATATCACAAATGCAGGAGCCTAAAATGAGCCCTCTGTTGCCTTTCTTGATAAGGCCTTCGTCAACCAAATCACGGAAAAGAACAGGAAAAATCTTGAAACAATTAATGTCCGAATCAGCATCGAACTCACAAAATCCATTTGTAGAATCCCTTCTTATACAGCCAAGGAAAAGCAACGCAACAAGAACCATTGCTAGTAACAATGATCTTGATATAATACGCAGAACCCGACAATCTGGGAGCTTAATAATCAAAAGGGTATCAGAATTGAATCCGATCCCAAATCCATTCACTTCATTGTTCATCTTGATTCGATTTTTAGCTCGATACTCACGAGTCATTCTGTCCATATTTTGCTCACTCAAGATGTCGAAAACTAAAATATAGTTCTTTTTATCAATAAAAAAAAATAGAGCTCAGTCACAAATCTGGGGCAGTGCCAGACGGGAAAATTTGAAATTTTCAGTTTTGAAAGAGAGAAGGAACAAGCCACAAAATGTGAGAAGAAAAGGTTTTTAGCGAGTGCAAAATCTGGCTGCGGTGTGATTCCCACCCACGAGAGCTAAACGATTGCTTCTAATTCTACACCAGAGGAGCATCAACTCCCTAAATCTTGCAATTTCCATGACTAGGTTCTTGAAATTTCTCCCTCCCTATCTCTCTCTTTCCCTCTCAATTCAAATGGATTTTCGTTCCATTTCAATTCACATTATGCAAAAAAAAAAAAAATGTTATCTGTAATGAATGATTTGAAACTCAACAACCATGAACAAGAGAGCGATCAACAGAAAAGAAGGAGATCTGGTGTAGAAAATCTGAAAATGAGAATGTAGAGAAAGAAAGGGGAATGAAGAGATGGGTATGGGTGGTGAACTGGGATGAGAGAGGGCAGGGCCATTGGCTTTAATTAGGTTGGCTGCGTGTGGGGTCCGTGGGGGACTCGAAGGTCATAATTTATTTTCTGGTTTTTGTTTGATTCTAAAATTAAGGAAAAAAGAGGGGACCTTATTATTTTAGAAGATAATGGCAGCTTGGCATCAATCACATAATGCATATCTATAGAAAATGATTATTGAATGTATAGATAATAAGTGAATAATAGCTATGAATTTCACTATGAATCAAAAATATTTTCGACTATAATTTATTATATTTTAATCACGATCCAAACATGCATATATTGAGTTGAGATTATGAATTTGATAACATATCAAATAATGTAATAAGTGTTATAAATTATAAAGAAAAGAAAATAGAGAAATTAATAGATTTATATATTAATCCTGTAGAGGTACAATCATTCACAAATTTGAGCCCCATTCTTTTCTAAGAATGTATTTTAAAATAATAGAATGGTGAAGAATGTGTCGTTAAAAAGAAGGAAATTTTTTTGGATTGTGTATAATGTTATTTTAACGAAAAATATGTAGTTGAAAAGAAGATAGAAAAAAATGTATTTTGAGAAAAATGAGAATCAAATGCCCTTGGCCATTTATTTATAACACTCCCTCTTATACTATATCGATAAAATCTTTTTTGAAAATTTTAATGGGACAAAATCTGAACTAATGAAATATAGTGTAGTTAGTCTTCCTAATTTCAACTAATGAAAAATTCATATCAAGTCATCCATATTTCGTACGCCAATGATTTCAATAGCACAATTCTAGTAAAGTAGCTCGTGTTAACTTGTTATAGCCTTCAAACAATACTGTCTTCATACATAATATTTATCTCTTAGTTAGCATAATGGTTCGTTGACAAATGGATTTTGTTGTTGTCTCTTCAAGGAGTATTGTATATAATTTTTAACATATAAGAGTATTATTTCGAAGATAAATATTTTGTACGTTATGGACATTCATTACATTAAAAAACACATTGTTAAAGTCTTACTAAGAAAAAATCCCAAGAGAAAAATTCTAATGAAGGGAAAAATATGTTATTTCTTTGAGTACGGTTAAACAATAGCCTAAGGAAAATTCAATGGAAGAAAATCTTAATTAAAGAAAAAAGAATACAACGATTAGTTACTCATCTTAAAGCATATTAAATCCTTCAAAAATAATTTTAATAGTCATATCAGATAAGTTTCTATAATAACATTTATTACAAGCATGTCTAGTTTTATGTATTGATAGGATAACAAGATATAGACTTTTTATTGTATCTATCGCAAGATAGTTTATATATTTATACAAGCATTTGCGAAATTCATTATATTAAGAGTCGAACATTATATATTACAACTTGATTATTATTATTATTATTTTAATTTCATTTGGTATAAGTATACACATTAAGGTGTTCAGGCTGCAAGTTTAGAAATTTCAAAAATTTTCTAATAATTTAAATTCTATTAGCATTTCGTCATTTTATTTGGCCATTTTAGTTGTTTTGATGAATTTATTTTGATATCCTCGTTATTTATAAGAATTTTTTGCTCGATTCTTAGTGTTTCTATGCCACTATCTCTTGTTGGTTTCTCTCTTAGCTCGTATTTCAAACAAACGAGCCTTAAGTGAGTGTTTAGATTTGAAGAGACTAAAATACAGTTTGAGATTTTATTGATTTTGGCCACTTTTATAGTTTTTAATGCCTAAACTAACGGATATAGACTATCGGGGGTATTCTACCACATTTGGGTGATTTTGAAGGGTTGTGCATCAAAATGAAAGGTTAGGAGATTGTTTTTGCAAACATTACAGGCTAATGTGCCAATTAGGTTTTTGCGTTTGGTTGTTTGTTTTTTTTGTATAATACTCAATATTTGTTTTATTTTAAATTTTTGAAAATGTAATTTTGAAAACAAAATTAAATTTATAACAACAAACTCAAAGCATTTTTTTGACGTTTCACTCAAAATATGGAATATAAAAGTAATTCAATTTCTCTTTCTTTGATTCTATAGACAATGAGTTTCATGGAACTTTTCATATGAGAATTTAGTTCGCAAACCTCGATTAACCTAGATTTTTTCGATTTGAATACAGTTCGTTCCCTGCTTTATGATTTTCATTTAGTTTTGGCTATTTTTGTTATCCTAATCTTCAATATTGACCCCGAAACTTTCAAGAGCTTCTACATTGGTCCTCTAACCTCAATAATCTTCCAAAATTGGTCATCTATAACCTTAAAAATGTGCAATTTAGTCCTCAAGCTTTCAGTATGTTGAATTTCATTCCTGAATCTTAAATTTTCCTCTTATCACCCCCTTACTATTTCTTTTTAATCCTGTACAATCCACTAGCTTTTAATTGTTTCGATTCAACTCCAATTGGACTAAACTCAAAATACCTCCAAGTTTGAATTTTGCATACAATAAGAATATTAAAACTTAATTAAAAGGCAAACTAAGCTAGCCTTAAATTTTTTGGTCCATTTTCCTTTATTCTCCTTCCTCCTTTTTTCTTAGTATATCAACCAGAGCTTTAAAAACAAGAATAAAGCTACTTGTTCATTATGTAGTTACATAATTGTTTACATAAAGATGATATGTTAAAAAGAGAGCGAAAAATTTTGAATTTTGCTATTTGTACACTGATTTTTAACTCTTTGGTTGATACTTGCATTATTGTCAAATGTTAATTGAATGGAAAAAAATTGTTCGAAATTTAAACAATCCAATAGGGTAAATGCCACACGGTAAAGTGTAAATTAAAATGTATATCATAGAATACGTGTAGTAAGGTTCAAAATTGTTTTTTCTTTTATTTGTATGAAAAATTCTGACCTTATCATATTTCAACACATCAAGCATATGTAAATCATTATGTAAACATATTATGCATATGTTGTGAAATATGATTGAGTATGAATTTCTTTAATAAAAATAAATAAAATTTCTTCACTCTTTTTTGACACCTCATCTGCATGTAAATTATTATATAACTACTTATGTAGAAGTAACATTATTTGAAATAAATTCCTTCCTTCTTATATATATAATTGGATTTCTCTAGTTGTACATAAAAATGTACATAATTGATTACATAATATGATGTTGGCAAAAAAACAAAAAAAAATTGGATGAAAAATTTATTGTACTTTAAATTGACAAATAGTAAAGTGTCATGCGACATTATGTAATCAATTATGTAAATCTTGATATAATTTTGGATATTGTTATATGTGTTGGGAATCTACTTATACATGCACAGAAGAAAATTAAAATTATTTCGATTCCCACCGAAGATCCCTTTGAAGAATTCTGCAAACCTTTTGCTTTTCTTTTCGTTCCAGCAATCTTGATTCGTCATCCGCAGCTGTCCAATTGTCCAACCTCCAACGGTGATCCACATAGAGAATAAGATTGCAGCTACCAAGATTTTCTCTCTTATGCCAGCAAGAATAATGAAAATCATATAGATTGAAAATTCTAGCAATGTATTTATATAAGCCCAAACGGGCCTGGTCCTATAAATTATTATTATTAGTTTAATTTCATTTGGCATAAGTATACACATTAAGGTGTTCAAACTCCAAGTTTAGAAATTTCAAAAATTTTCTAATAATTTAAATTCTATTATCATTTCGTCATTTTATTTGGCCATTTTAGTTGTTTTGATGAATTTATTTTGATGTCCTCGTTATTTATAAGAAATTTTTTGCTCGATTCTTAGTGTTTCTATGCCACTATCTCTTGTTGGTTTCTCTCTTAGCTCGTATTTCAAACAATCGAGCCTTAAGTGTGTTTAGATTTGAAGAGACTAAAATACAGTTTGAGATTTTATTGATTTTGGCCACTTTTATAGTTTTTAATGCCTAAACTAACGGATATAGACTATCGGGGGTATTCTACCACATTCAGGTGATTTTGAAGGGTTGTGCATCAAAATGAAAGGTTAGGAGATTGTTTATGCAAACATTACAGGCTAATGAGCCAATTAGGCCTTTGCGTTTGGTTTGCTGTTTTTAATTTTTTATAATACTCAGTATTTGTTTGATTTGAAATTTTTGAAAATAAGATTAAATTTATAACAACAACCTCAAAGCATTTTTTTGACGTTTCACTCAAAATATGGAATATATAAGTAATTCAATTCCTCTTTCTTTGATTTTATAGACAATGAATTTCATGGAACTTTTTATATGAGAATTTAGTTCGCAAACCTCGATTAACGTAGATTTTTTCGATTTGAATACAGTTCGTTCCTGCTTTATGATTTTTATTTAGTTTTGGCTTTTTTTTTTATCCGAATCTTCAATATTGACCCCGAAACTTTCAAAAGCTTCTACATTGGTCCCCTAACCTCAATAATCTTCCAAAATTGGTCATCTATAACCTCCAAAAATGTGCAATTTAGTCCTCAAGCTTTCAGTATGTTGAATTTCACTCTCG